TCGCAACAGTATGTGACTGTGTAATTAAAGATGCAGCATAACTCATGCAAACATGAAGATTACCCAGGGAACCGTGATACTTGCATTTCCTAATTTCTGAGGGCTTGACTTCCACAACTGTTACACCCTATTAAAGTCGGTATTTGCATGTAATTTCCTGGATTCGCCCTCCTTCCCTCAAAAAAAACCTCACGGGGAAAACTCACTAGCTTCCCTTGTGTGGTGTCATCTTAAAATATTCATGGGGACCTTTAGCAGTCCTGAAACCTCTAGACACTTCCAAAAGGTATCTGTCATTACTGCTATCAGAAAAACAAAGTAACTGGGCAACTTCAAGAAAAAGAAACAAACTAATCCTACTTATAGCGGTATTTTAGTTGTACACATGGAGCTGAAGTGCTCTGCATGGGAACAGATGTGAAGGGTTTCCTTGCTTTAAAGCATTACAAGAGGTATCTGACCAGCAGAAGTGTGTGACATGAGGGACACGCTGCTCGAGCTGTAGGTAGAGAGAGTGCAGGACACCTTTCTTCAGCGCTGTTTTATCTGTTCCACTGCTCTGCTGAGGCACCAGGGGAAATGGATTAAATAAAAAGGGCAGGGGAGGGGAATTCAGATAACAAATGAAAAGAGGAAATGCAAAGTCTCCAGATTATCTATGAACCTTTAGCAAACAGAATCATGGTAGCAATTTAAAATCAAGACATGCTGCACTCTACATTTCCTGTGGTGCTTTATCTGTGAATTTAACATAAATCTAGCCATTAGCCTCAACAGCACGTCATGCTTGCTTTCAAAGCCAGGCTAAGGAACTTGTCCTAATTGTGTTATTTTTTTTCTCCAGTACTGGAATTAATTTACTTTTAAGTTCAGATTAATCAGATGATGAATTTTAACAAGCCAGTGTTACCCCCAAGCAAAATGGCAGAGCTCATAAACCTCCATTTATCCAGTGATCACTTTTTACTTCTCCACGGTGAATAATTTCAAAGACAAAGCATGAAGCGGTAGCTCAGCTGGTGTCAGCTGTATGCAGTAGCAGCCAAGGGCAGCCCAAGAAAGGAAGGCCCTTCCCACGTGCCACCATCATCTCTAAAAAATCACTGCCTCAAGCTCACATGCTGCCACACCATTTGGGTTACAGGTAGAGAAGTCCCTGCTGACAGCTCCACAACCCAAATGAAGCTCTGTCCAGAGCTCTGCCTCTCACCTTTCCTGCTGTCACTCCCCAGCCTGCAGCACAATGTTTATCCCATTTGCTCAGTGCACGTCCCATTGGCGTCAGCACAACCCGCTGCCTGCACATGCATCACTGCCAACGGCATGGGAGGGGACAAGGATCTCAGAAGGTTCCTTTAGGCTACCTCTGGGTCTAGACTGCTCTTTGTTTATCCCACACATTGGTGAACGGTGCAGGGGAGAGGAGTGCAGGAGTCTGAGAAGTTCTTTCACCTCACCAGTCCTTCCCGCTTTATTTTGCAGAAGGGAAAGAAGAATGCCAGGGAGCCTTCCCTTCCCTCCTCAACTTCTTCCTTTTCTGTGCTATGCAGCGTAGACTGAACTGAAGGCAGAGGGAAGTGTTTAGGACTGAAACCACTACCAAGCACTCCCTGTCAGCCTACCAAGATTCATTATCTGCTATCTTACACCAGTATCTCTTACTTCAGAACCTGCAGCAAGCTGCCCTGTCCCTCCGCACTCTCCTAATAACCTGGAAACCTACAGAACACAGCACACCACGTCCACACAGAGAGTGAGAAGCTGCCACTGTCTTCTGCTAAAGAAGTTAGTCCTTCAGTTTAAAGAGCAATAGCCGTGGTTTTAATTTGAGGTTCGAAGTCTTATCATAATACATGGGGAAGTAAGAGCTTATCCTTCTTGCCCTCTAGGACTCATGACCTCTGTTGTCCTGTAGAACTCCTGGAAAGATGGCCAAAACCCTTGTGCCACACCTAGATAAAATCTGCAGAGGGAAGAGAGCACAGAGTCCAAGCCAGCTGTAAGAACAGCAAGCAATCACCAGAGCCCTGGCAAAGAAACCGTGCAGCCACTCCTCTGGCAGATGCTGCGCCAGCAGAGAAAAAAAGAGATGACAAAGGTGTGTGTGCGCTCTGTATGTGGGAGGGGGGGCAACTGAAAACAGCGCAAGGGTTAAGAAAAAAAAAAAGCATAGAAGAAGAAAGGGAGCTTCAAGGAAGGAGCCATTATATTCCGCTGATTTGAAGAGATCAGAGAGATCTCAAAGAACAAGTGCTACAAATGTCTCGTCCCTTGTTTTTAAGACACGTCCGGTTCAGTCGCAAACTGTATTTGGGCTTTGCCTGGCTACGCTGCTCACTCACCAGCAGGCACTCTGTCTCCATTCATCCCAGTCAAGCTTTTAATCAGAGGGGTTGGAGTCAGATAATGAGGTGAGCTTCCCCATGCTGAGCAGAAGCCTTTTTAGCACTTAGTGAAGGGGAATTCGTCACACCAACCGCTTGGAACAGTCGCCGCACTGTCCTCTCTGAATCCTTTTGTGCCTTCTCCGTCAGGCCACCTTTGAAAGGTGTTAAGTGGAAAAATCTGACTGCTAGTGGACAAAACACCTAAAACACTTCATTGCAGAGCCTACAGCTCTAAATCTGAAACTAAAAAATTCTTACAGGCGAAGGAGCAGTCCTTCCAAAGTTCCGTGTGAGCAAAGAGAAGTCTGATCATCAAATTGTTCAGTTAATTTGTAGTCAAAGCGGTTTTTGATTGCTGTGTTCATCTGGCTGCACAGCACCCAGCCCCACTGTGCCCTTCAAGAATCAGTGCGCTACATATAATATATGACAACGGCGCTCTGAGCACAGTTCAGTGAGAGTATCTATTTTCCTCTGCCTCATGCAGGCAGCAAACATGCCGTAACTGTGCTGAACACTGGTGTCGCTCACTGTATAATTTCATCTCGCTGCCTGTTCTGAAAATCAAGATGAGACCAGACCACTAAGCATGGCTATGAAGTTTTTCTTTTTAATATACAAAATCTATAGGAGTCCTTATTTTTAATATTTAATCTTCAAGACTACAGAAAACAGTAAAACCTATTAATTTAGATCTGTTATTAAAAAAATCCATTTAAGAAGAACTAATCCTGAAAAGATTCAATATTAATTAGCTCATCCAAAAAAAAAAGGATGGAGAAATAATTTGGAAACTCCTTGAATTTTCCGGAGTCTAAAATTGAGAAAGGTGAATATGGAAGATATTTTAGTAGCACCTTTGTATTTGTGTTTGAATTGAGAAAGGTGAATATGGAAGATATTTTAGCACCTTTGTATTTGTGTTTGGCAAATTTTTTTCCTTCTAGTGTCTTCACACATCTGGGAGATTCCCTTCAAATATCTTTCTGTTATAGCAATGTAATGCATATCCTAGTTACTACATGTTCTCATTTTTGCATTCTCTTTTGTACTGTTGCCACCTTATATCATGCTTAAGAATAAGACAAAGGACTAAATGTCAAAGTGAAGGACAGCTTCATGAGTGAATTCCCACTATACCACAAAAATTTTACTTTCAGAGATGCTAGACACCAGTAACCTCTGTTGACCTCTTCTAGATCGCAGGCATGCTCCTGATGCCTGAAAATCAGAAGCAAACTGAGTGATCTAAATAATTCCAGATTGCTATGTTCAATATGATATTACTTCAGGTCTCAGTTTTAAATAAAGAGGATGAAAGCAGAGCTCTCAACAGCCGACAGCTCCGCACCAAGCGTATGCCCGCACTCTCTGCCTGTAACCTGCTCCCAAGAGCACACAAGTAACCACCCTGCTTGCCAGTTACAAGGCTGTTGCCTCAGCTGTTGACTCCTGGGGTCTTATTAGTTCTACCAAACCGCAACAGATACATCCATGAAGGAGGGGCAAAATTCAGCAGGTTTTGCAAGGCAGAAAAATTCGATGAAGAAACCTCTACCAAAGCACACATTCTTCTATTTTGACTAGATGTACCCAGAAGGCAAGCTCCCAACTGGGAGTAAATTTATCATTTTACAGAAAATACAGTCTTCACCTGAGATAAGCTCAGCATGAGACTACTGCCTTGAGAAGAAGACCCCAAATATATCCCTGCTCTGACACTCACCATCTGACCAGCTGCTTTTCCCTGTTTCCTACTCTTACTCTGCACTACTATCCAGTAGGACATCGTACTAACACTCTCTCATATATATTGCTGCTAATTAAATGATAGCAACATACAACCTAGACTCCCGTTGAAGCTAACACTGACTTTGTCCTAAAATGACATAGTTGAAAATTTCCAAACTCTTAGGAACACTGAGCATTAACAGAGGAGTAGTTAGTGAGATTCTGCTGAGGTAATACTTGTGCTGTCATGACTGCAGAAGTGTTTCAGCGTTGTATTTCCAGCTAACAAAGTAGGACCTGACACAATCATTGAAAAGATTTTGCAGAAAGCTAAGGCAAGACTAGCTAAAACACTGGCCAACAGGATCTATGTTCCAAACGATGTGTCCCATGAAAACTGTGAAAACTCAGTCTCATCCTCTGGGTTGGTTGTTTGTCTTCTCCTTGTCCTGACACAGGTGATACCTGCTGGTAAAGCTGCCACTCAGCCTGCTGCATCGCAGCATCACTGCTCTCTACCACCTCCCTGCATTCCAGAAGATCCTACGCAGACTATAATAATCAAACAGTTCTCTGTTATCAACAGTTATTTTATTGTTGTCAAAAGCTACAGAAAATATTGGGTAGCCAAACGCATAAACACATGAAAGCATCAGTAAGTGTAAACCTAGGTCAAAACCTTCCCTCCTCAGGAAGTGGGACATGCAGTGTTCTCCTGTGCATCTTTTAGCTGCCCTCTTACCTCCACTGCGAGTGCCTTCCATACTGTTGTCTGTTGTAAAAACCAGTTAGAGGAACTTTTGAATAGCTTCCACATAGAGGTGAACTATTAAGTGGTAGTGTTTCTATTTTCTTAGTCTGCATGAGAATAACAAAATTTACCTTGTCATAATAGTATCTGAGCGCTCGGCTCAGCTTGTCATAATTCATATTAGTTTTGTTTTTTCTGAGTCCCCACAGCTTAGCCACTTCTTCTGCCTTGAGTAGCTTGAATTCGCCATCATTAGACGTCCAGCAAATCAGGTGCTCATGTTTCTGGTCTAGCAGCAACTGCAAAAGGAACTGCCACAGTGTGATGGCACTCTCCATACCTACAAGGGACAAAGGAGAGCAACAGTGTGAAAAACATTTGGGAGGAGGTGTTCCATCCAACGCCCACTTCAGCAATAAGCTCTGTAAGGAAGTCGCCCTATGTCATCGAGCAAAGGAAGCTACTGCATCACTTACAACCAAACATCCACAAGACCTACAGTCTTGCACTCCCATTTCAGTATTTTTTCCACTGCCGTTTTCTGAAGGGACACATAGAATAAGTATTCAGAAAAGCACTGCCTGCATAGCTCACATGGCCATCTCTAGTTGATGCCTTTAATTCAATGTGTGCAATCACTCTTCAAAGGAACATATAGGAGGAAAAAAAAGACCTAGCTATTCACAAAAATAAGCTGAAGACCTGCTGTTCACTGTTAGGTAAAGTATACTGAACTCATTCAGTTACTTCACTGTAAAGAAGAGGAGGAAAAGGGAAGACCAGAGCAGTTGCCTTGGGTTAGAGGACCAGTAAGGACACTCTTTTCCCCCTCCCACCACATGCACCCACCTTCCCCGTGTCCTGCATTTTGTTTCTTCCAGGGCCCGAAATGGCTTTTGCTGCTCCTGTTAGACAATTCAAATAGCTCAAAAGATATTATCTACTTTGCAAAAACGCTGATAGTTCAGAACATTTAAGCACAGTAAAGTAAGTGATGTTTACCCTGAACCTTTCTCTAACAGGGAGAGTTATCATAACTACAACCTTCCTTTCATTATCATACATATGACTGAGAACTAGGAATACTCTTAACAGCGCCTGAGTCTCACTTCTAAGGTTGTCTGAATATTTTTTTTCCTGCTAAGAGTTGTTTCAACTTTTTTTTCTCTGCTAACTGCCTGTGCTACTAAGCCCTCCCTAGAATAAACCTCTTTTTTTCAGGCACTGCAATAGAAGGATAAACTTAAGAATGACCATAGTCCAACTCAGTGCAGGCACATATACAACTTAAAACTTGGGAGCCTTACCCCTGAAGACAATTTACTATTGTAATGAAGATGCAGCTGAAACTGACCTTTTAAACTACAGAACTATAAAATGAGATTTTCCCCTACTTTCAACCATGTTTCCAGCCTTAACATGAGGCCATTAAACAAATACCAGATGCTCTACAAGCCCTCTCTCTCCCCAAAGGGGAAGGGAAAAGGGAATAAGGTAGAAAGACTTACAGACTGGGGGGGGAAAAAAAACAAATAAAAACTAAAACAACTTAAGTAAAGTAACAATAGTACTAATAAGGAAATCATGAAAATAATGAAATATACACAAATATATACAAATCTGATGACAGAATCACAGAATGTTAAGAGGTTGGAAGGGACCACTGGAGATCATCTAGTCCAACCCCCCTGCCAGAGCAGGACCACAGAATCTAAGGCAGGTCACACGGAAACGCATCCAGACAGGTCTTGAAAGTCTCCAGAGGAGACTCCACAACCTCTCTGGGCAGCCTGTGCCAGTGCTCTGTCACTCTGTCACCAGTAAACAAGTTCTTCCTTATGTTGAGGTGGAACTTCCTGTGCTCTAGCCTGAATCCATTGCCCCTTGTCCTACCACAGGGCACAAGTGAAAAGAGGTTGTCCCTTCCTTCTTGACGCCCAGACCTCATATAATTATACACATTAATTAGATCCCCTGTCAGTCTTCTCCTCTCCAGACTAAAAAGCCCCAGGTCTCCCAGCCTTTACTTTTAAGGCAGGTGTTCCAGTCCCTTAATCAATCCAGACCCGACGCTCCCACTCAGTATCAATCCCCGCTGATACTGCAGAGCAAGCGGCACCAGGGAAACTCCAGGCTCAGCGGCAGCAGGGAACCAGGTACAGAAGCCAGATTCGGGAACTCAGGATCAGGATCAAAAGCTGAAGACGGGACAAAGCCCACCTCAGATGCTGACTATCAGAACAACAGGGATTCACTTCCCTGATCCCTCAGCTTTATACTGAATATGTTGTATACAGAACGGAACGCTCTTGGTCAGGTTTGGATCATCTGCCCCATCCATTCCTCCTCTTTGCTTTCTTGTGACCCCTTTTACTTCCTGGCACCCCAATGTATTACACAAGATCCAGCAGTGGCCTTGGTCACTATAGAAGCGAGAGCCATTCTGCTTCCCAACCCCTGGCAGTAACTGCAAACATCAGGTGTTATTACTTCTAGTAACAGACACTGTGAAAACATGCTGCCAACTTCAGAAAGCGCAGCCTCTTAGCAGAGACTGAGCTGAAAAGTAAAAATCACTGAACAGAACCGGTTGTTTAGCTCGAACCAGGACAGCATGTTAATGCTCTACCAGATCACTTTTTCTTGGCCTCTTCTGATACTTAATTTGGACACATTACATCTAACTAACACAGATTTAAAGCCACTGATATTAGTGGGTTAACTGATGATGGTGCTAACGGGGCTAATTATTACCTGGTTTAGCTTTGCACATGTGACAATGGGCGTTTTTGTCTTTATCTAAACAAGCTGATTAACTTCCTTTCTCGTTTTGCTTCGTAATATATTACCGTTTGTGTCCTAATAGTTTACACCGCCAGAATACACCGGGCTTAATGCCTGACTCTTCTCTTGGAGTGTTGACCACAAGAGGGCACAAGACTTCTAGCTATCCAGCACATGGCACAGCACAGCAGGCAGCCCAGGGAAGATTTGCCTCTTCGAGTCTGCATTTGCTTCACTGCATTTTTTAATCACTTTACACAAATCCTTTTCCACGGAGTGTAAGGCAAGAAAAAGACGTATAGCTAGAACTAAATGTACCTGAAAGTTATATAGTGGCTTTACAGGCTTTAGAAGTTCCTTTAAATCTGTGCAAGTATTAACATTTTTGCAACAGATTATTTATCTGTAACATGATAGCTGATTAAGTATCCCTATTAATGTGGCATTAGATGCACATACTTTTTCATTAATATTTAAAAATTTTGCAACTTATCTCGTGTAGGTATATATCTGTATATGTAGTTATATACACCTGTGTAGGTATACACAGCTATAATGCTTCAAATTTATCTTGGTTTCTGTACACCACATATTATACAGTTATACTTTGCATCATTTCAGCTTGTATCCTGCAACTCTTCCAAACATGAAATCACAAACAGAACTCATTTCTTTTCCTCTGGAAAATCAGAAGTAACTTACAAACATCTTCCTTCAAAACTGCATTAAAATATATACAGGTGTCCCACGCTACAAAGACCCATCAGTAGAACTTCAGCTGAGGAAATCAAAGACAGAAGACAGTTACAGAAGCACCCATACAAACTCCACCCCCGTGACATTAGCCAAAATAGTGCAGATCCTCAGAGATGCAATTGTCTCATCCAGATCTCAAATTTCATCCTCGAGATCAGCAGCAATCATGCCCCTTCAAAGAGTTTAGGTGGAACCGAACTCACAGCGAAGCGCATTTTGTTGCAGTCTCCTCCGCCCCCACTCACCTCCACCTGAGCACACTCGTGGGGTAACCTGCAGCTGACGTTGCACCACGCTCTCCGTTATGAACCTGTTTTCTGATGCTTATCATCTGTAAAATGTAAACAGCCTTGGATTCCATTTTATCTACTGAGCACCGGCCTCAAGGCGACTCCACCATAGGCGTAATGCAGAATGCCCGAACAGCACAAGCCGAGGTGAGAACATACTTCAGGAGCAGCCACTCCACACCACCTGTCCTGATGACTAAGGAGAGGTGACTTCCACCAGGGGATTAGATAAAAGGTTACTGCGGCCTTTTTCAAAGCGTTTCAGTTCCTGGTGATTTGTTCTTCAACCACACACATGTAATCTCTTGGGGACACTTCAGGTGCCAGATCCAGAGCAGATGGCTGTGGCGGGATTAGAATCAGGCAGTTTCTCAGCACCCTGCTTGCCTTACCAGCAACCTGCCAGGCGCACAGCTCTGAACTGGCTTCAGAAAGGACCTGCGGACCTCCGACTTCAGCATCACTGAGCTGAACTGGTACCTGCAGAAATCCTCTACTGGATACGACCCAAGTCTGATCATACTGAAGTAAAATTAGAACACCTCAGTGCTGCACTGTATTCCACCCCTCTGTCTGCCCCCAAGTTCTGAATAAAGCTTCCCATGCTGCTTGTACAACACGTACATGACTCTTACATGATGCAAACCACACAAATTACATTTTCAGCTGATTGTTAACTGTTTGGTCCTTTTCTTCTAAGCACCCAGCTTGAGGTGTTTATGTCTGAGTTGTATTGAACACTCGCAGCTGTAACTACCCTTCAACAGAAGCTTTGTGCATATAGGGTGATGTAAAATCTTAAATACCTGGAATTTAACAAAGTGGTGTTAATGTTTGCATCTCATTTCCATTCTCTAAAATGTGAATTGCAGGGGAATAGTAAAAATCTAAGATCCTGCAGTGACAGGATTTTTAAATCAATGCAAAATATTTCATTTCAAATCAGGTCACCAGAAGTATTAACCTGCCTTTTTCTATGGGCACTATTTTGGGGTTCTACAAAGTATTAACTACCCTCTTCCGAGGACACTGTGGCTGTGCAGCGTGCTAAGCCTTAACTTGTGCCTCCTTTCAGTGGTGGAGCAAAATAATCACAACAGATGTATTAGAAGACATGTAATTTAACAAAAAATGTACTACCCATATTAAAAGTTATGAAGAATTATGACTGGGTGGAGTCAGAAATCTTCAGAAAACATTGCATTTCGTTTATGTATTTTCTAATCCTTTCGAACTCTGACTGACTCAAAGAGAATTCAGTGTCTTGCCTTAATTTAACAAAAAATGGGTGTTAGGATGTTGTCACTTCCTACAGGGCATATATTTCACATTTCATTCATTAATATTAAATAGTAATAATAAATATTCCTGATACTTCCGTGCTCAGTACAGGATTTGAATGCTGGACAATAAATAATACATGGAACCACATACTAAATTACATGGATTAGAAGCAAAATAGGTTTTTTTAAAAATCACTTATTTAGACAGAGACATCCATCTATTGTG